GTTGTTGTTCTGCCGAGCTGCCGTGGGGGCATGTGTTTCCATGTAAACACTTCAGGAATATCCACATGGATGACGGAAGCAGAGTGACTACCAGGATAAGGCTCATTATGTAGGATGAGAATATCTTTGACACATTTTTTTCTAGTGTAACATTATTATCCCTACACTTCTAGCTTTTGTCCTACACTTCTTGCTGAGGCACAAAAGTCAGAAAATTTGTTGGTGCCCCTTCAGAGGCATCATGGCCACTTACCATCAAATATCACAAAGGTAATACAGTCATTCATCATTTCTTACCAGTGTTCCTCACAGACCCCACCGTAAGGGCAGCCACCATCTTCAGCATCACAGCATTTAATTCCTTCTCAGTGCCTTCTACCAGACCAGGCAGATGGGTTCCAGCTGTCAGTGTATTAAAAGACATAATACAACTTATACAAGACATGGTTAACTGGAGCTAAAATATATTAACCCAAAAAAGAAAGTGAGTTCTCTTGAAAATTCTAGTTTTCTCTTAAATATACTTACAGGCGACTTGAACCCTAAAATGAGGAAAATACAGACAGGCCATTGCCTAGTCAGAGTCTAGTCCAGGATTGGGAAACAGGTCTGATACTATGCCCTGCAGCCCACACCTCCTGCATAACTACAGGCAATACTGGTAATAGTGTTTCCATTTCCCAACTGATGTAGAGTTACCTGTTTAGTGATACCTGGTAGGAACATACATAAATAAAAGAATATTACAGGTTATGAGCTATGAAGTGGTAAATTATTACAGCAACAGGGAATACTTAAATACCTAAACTAAAAGTGAAGAGCAGAAACACCCTGCATGTTCAAAGGCAAACAATTCCAGGATCAGACAGTGTAAGGTAGCTTATTTTTAGGTCTAAAAGTCATGACGTTTGCAGGCTAAATTTCTGGAAACCAAAAGAGGGAAGTAGTGATCACTTCACACAGTGTGTTCCTACCTGTGCATCTTCATCTGCATGTCTAAATTTACAAATTACATAGCCATTCACTCACTTATTCTATAAAATCTAGAATACCAAATGATCTAAAGCAGTGAAACTAATGCAAAGACAGAAGAAAGCCCCTTTGCACCAGCTCACAACCAGAAGGTAAGTTTTTCAAGAACCTTGGTATTTATCTTGACAATCCCTATCTAAGTACTCTTGTACAAAATTCTATTTCTCTGATATCAAGAAAGCAAATCTAAGTGTCCTTGCTAGTAATGGATGTCTGCACTCCAGAACTTCTGTTGCAATTCATATTCCTTCTGTTGCTTGGAATAGGTGTGTATAAATAATTCAATTGTGCTTGCTGCATCAGAAGTTATATCTAGTACTTTGGGTCCCTCCTCCTTTACTAAGCGATTATTGCAGTGAAAGTTAAAGGCATTTCCCAATTTATACAGCACTAGAAAATGTTATCATGCATTTTTCTTTCTTTAAAATACCAGTTATAAACTTTTAAACATGAGAGTCTGTCCCCTAAGTCAGCTGTACCCCACAGTTACCACACCAGGACTATTAAACTTCCTGTCTTCATATTAGGAGAAAACTTTATCAAATGACAATGAGTGGTAGTAATTGTGGGTAATATACAGTAAAAATTCAAGAAACTGCTTTCCATCACCAGCCCTCACATTGGTGTTATTTTCAGAGTAACTAAGCACTGTGGAAAACTCAAGTCTTCCTCTACTCTCAAGCTGGCATTCTAGGGAACCCCAAATTGAGACCTGTTTAAAAATGTGTGCTGAATGGTACCCTCCAGAATAATTTATCATACAGTGGTGGAGAATAGCCCAGAACTGTTCAGGCTAGTGAGCAGAAAGATTAACACCTAATATTTCAGAGAGGATTGAACTTAGTATGTCATAACCTTAGGCCAGCTGGCTTGCAGACAAAATCTAGCTACCCTGTATATAAAATTTATAAATTGACTGTGGAAAGAGATTCATTCATTTCCATTGATATGCCTTCTTCAACAGTCATTATAAATGACATTAAGTTGTACCTGACTTCCGCAGGATCTTGGCTTGCTTCCTCAAAAGTGCCAGCAGTAGGCCCAAGAGCCCAGAGTCACGGAATATGTCACTGAATAGCAGGTCCTTCTTGGTCATGGTGAGAAGGCACCGGAGAGCTGTTAAGGTGCAGAATGGCACTGTGTTTTCCTTTATCAAATACTGAACCTTCTTCAAAATTTCATGGGGGACATAGGACAGGTCTAGCACTATGGACTCCACCAGTGTGAAGAACTGGACTTGGACTGGGTGTGGTTTGAAATGGATTATGTCAGTAAACTGGTTGATAGGTTGTAGTGTCCATTCCAGAAGAAAGAAGTTCACTGTGTCCCAGGCCCATATGGTACCGATTGCTGCCAAGATTCTTCCACATAGGTGCTGATCATTACTTTTTTGGAAAATGGACTGCAACACCTGAAAAGCCTGGAGGTTTTTCACTGTCATTCCTGTGGGATAAAACCAGGTGAGATAATTTTTACATCAATGCTACTTAAGACTCAAGCACCATTAATTATAATGTTAAATCATGTCTGAGAGTGGAAATAGTCACAGATACAAGGGATGTGATTGGGAGGCATGTTCTCAACCCTGTATCAGACCCTGCAACTGACATGTCAGTTTGATGTAGGTAGCATTCAGGCTTCTGTAGGGTTAAGCATATAGATCAGAAGATGCCATCTCATACTCCTTCCTCCATCTTAAGGCATATAATGAACAGAGCTTTATTTTTCTATGACCCGCCTACATAGCCAGGTCACAGATACATATATATACTGTACCAGAAGACCGTGTCCGTTCAAAGTCAAAATGTGGTAATTGTGGGTGTACAATATTGCCAGAGACTTTCAGTTCAGTTTTTCCACAGGTTGTAAGGCAAGTCAACATGTCCAAGATCTCATCCATATAAGGGTCTCCTTCATTTTGCTGCAGTCCCTCACATCTAGGAACAAAATTTGTGACAGTCATATGTTGATGCTTTAGCAATACAAATACTTCTGATATATCACCAGGTACTTGAGCACACAGGAGCTACCCATTTTACTCCCCACTCCTCTTCAGTCTATTCTGTTACATTTTTATCTTATTTCTGTGATTTTTTTTTTAACAATCTTACAAACAGTAACTCCATACCCTGGTGGCACATTCTGAATCAGAACAAAACTTACAAACTGAAGAAGAAAACTGAAGTGACACTGTAAAAATCTTCTAAAGAAAAGGAAGATAAATGTTGGAATTCAATCCAGTTACAAGTACTATTTTTTTCTTTAAAAGTAATTATCTTCAAAAGAGTGTATTGAGGAGTAAAAATTTAAATTTTGTGAGAGAAAAAAATATTAAAACAGACACTTCACCTTAAAAGGTAGACAACGGTTGGCAAGCTAAGAGACGTGCTAACTGACATAAAGAACAGAAAAATCTAAGCCTTTAGGAAGGGAAAAATATTGTATTGCCTGAGCTTTGTGAATCAGACATGAAGATGGCTTGTCTCTCCTATGTAAGGAAATAGTTTGAACTGTAACCCCGTATTTGCCATACTTTAGACTGAAGTGAAAGTCTGTCAAAGGGCAGAGAGCTGCTTATCATGTCATCCTATTCTGTACTGCTTAGAGGGGTCAATTCTTAAGGAAAACTGCAGCATCTGGGCATGGGTTAGTAGCAGAAGAACAGACTGATACTGGGAGTTAGGAAAATCTCAGAAGAAAACAAAACAAGTATGTTCTGTTTTAATCTAAGCAAGGGGAAAAAAAAAAAAAAAAAAGGAAAAGGGACAGGACAAATGCTAGTATCCATTTAGGTGGGAAAGCATGCAATCAGCAAGATTCTTTTTACCTGAAAAAGAAATTCCAAACATCATAGAAGATGAAACCTGGTCATGCAAAACATTCAGGAAAGAAGCTCTCTGTCTATCCCTTTCTGCTAGCATAGGCTAGAGAGGGAAATTAATCTGAAGCTCTGAGCACCTATATGCTATTTCTGTCTCTTCAGCCTAGTTACATCAGTTAAAAAGGACAGGGGCAGTCATAGCCCTTCCTGATAAAGATTGGGTGTTTCTGCCTTTATATGGATAGAATTTCATCAGAAATTTACATCTCAACACAGCTTATTTATAAGGGAAAGACAATCTATAGTAACTAAAGAAAACACGGCCAGAAAAAAGATAAAACTTTTTCCAATTGTAGGTTAATTATTTTGTGCCATCCCAAAATCATCAGAAATCATATTCACCTATGAATATCTCTGGATTCATCATTTAAATTAAATTCTCTAGATGCAAATTACAAAATATACCCCCTCAGTCTAACTCACTGGTAAGGGACCAACACTCTTACAAGTATTGGAGAAGTACAAGAAAAGGCAAAGCCAGAACAGAAATGATAATAGATTGGGAAGATCTGGAAATGCTGTTTTCATATGATATTAAAGAAAAACAGAATGAAGCTCCTAAGGGCTTCTGGGGAAGTGGTATAACATACTGGTTTTACACAGAGCCTGGTTAGACAATGCAAGGAGACAAGGAGAATAAAAGAATCTACTTTGTACTTTTGATTAGGGTAACTAGTAAGGATTTGTACTGATATATTCATATGCATCTCAGTTCTGAAGAATGTAACCATTTCAGATATAAGTTTGGGTGGGGGTTTTTTTGTTTGTTTTCTACACAGCAAGAAGATCAGCTTTCCCCCGCAGCTGACTGCATTCCTGGATCAAGAGTTCACCTTAACTGAGACAAATATCTCTGACTTACATCCCCTCTAATAATGATTGATGAAGAACCTTTGTCTTGTGTTCAGTAAGTCTCTATCCCACCTGTAAACTAACTTCTCCTATCGTTAATTTCCACTATGGTATCAGTAGAAGTTATGTACTGCTTCCCTTCCTAAAACAGCAATAAAAGACCCAATATCAGCATCTTTATTATTGGGGTCTTTATTACTGGCTTTGCATCCACACATGATTACCTACATGATTCATATTTTAAAACAAGCCACCATGCATTCTAAAAATTAAGTCTACCATCCTCTAGAAGCCCACTAAAAACCTCTCTACTTACCTGAGTAAAATTTTTAGCAGGAGTTGGTAGCCATCATTATTTTCAAACTCTGTTAACAAAGCTGATGATATGGGATAGGAATGTTTCACAAAGCACAGGACAATACTAGCAGCTTCACACACATCACAAGCAGGCAGGGTATCAGCCAGTTTAAAGAGATTCTGAATAGCTATTTTAATGCAGTCTACAGCTGTAAGGAAAAAAAAAAATAGCAGGTATTTAAGAACTGACAGTCAAATAAGTTTGAAGTTACTAACAAAAGTGGAACAAGTTTGAAAAGTTATTTCACATTAAAATAGGAGTCAGTTTAACTCTTTTTCTACAAGGACAAGAGGATATATGAACATCACACTCATCTCAGAGGCTACATGAAGAACATTTCTGGTTTTAAATTATACATGCATTTCTTTGCTTAACCTCCAGAAGCTGATTCAGTTTCAGTCTGATCTGATGGTCAGTTCTTCCAGGACAGCTTTGAAATGTCTAAACACTTCAGTACTCTTAGAATTATTATTAATCGGTCTTCCAATCTCACCCAGGAACCTACTTTAAAAAAAAACAAAACAAAACAAAACCCTACCAAAAACCCAACCTATGCAGTTACTCCAGAGGAATACTGACTAGGAATACTTACAGTAAAGTGTGGATTAGAAAACTTTTTTTACTTCTAAGAAATTGAGACTTATGGCCTTTGCACTTCTTAATAACAAAAAAATTGCTCACTCTCAAAGTCTAGGAAGAAATGAGGAAGTAACTCAACCAATCATGATGTTGTCCCAAATGATACTGTTCCTTTGATGGTGCCCTCAATCTTGCATTTAGAGTATGCACGAGCCTTAGGCTCACACATTGAGTCACACAGCTTAAAAAAACATAATACATCTTGTCCTTGCCTACATTAGTGTAATCAGATAGGATTGGCTCTTGCCTGTAATTTTATCTTTTGTTCAGGAAAAACTTCAGTTTCCAGAAGGCTATTAGTACTAAATAAACTCTAGAAAGCCAAGAGCCCATGCTTTGCAGTTGACTGCCTACCAGATGATACAGAGACAAAAATCTATCCCAGGGAGATTCTTCTTGAGAATTCATTCTCAGTGGAGCTATGAGGAAAGGAGTAAACAAATTACTAAACCAAACCTTGTAGGTACACAATGCTGTTTTTGGTCTGAGCCTTTGAAATTGTTCTCAGCACACGGCCCGTAGGTGCTTTCCACGAGTGGCTACACTGGTCCCAGAGGGAAGCAGTTGCTATAATTAATGACTGAAGTTTATCAGCTGCCAGAAGTTCCTCTACACCTTGTTCCTCTCTGTACATGTTAAGCATTATCTGAAAGGCAAACAAACATCAGCTACAATAAACACTTCTACAAATATCTGGGAAATAAAGAAAAATCTGTTGTGGGGGATATAGTTTGACACTGATGCCAGGAAAAATGATGCAGTGAAATGAACAAGTAAAACTACTGCTAGGATAGTCTCAATGTATTTTTTCCCCATTTACAAAGTCATGTTGTTTTACTTAACAAAAGAAGAAGAGAAATAGTGGCATAATCTTGGATTGTTTTATACTGCTCCTGATGCTTGTTCAATGGTTTTCAGACTAAATTCACTCCTTTTTTTGGAGTTTGAATCAACCATGTTCACTAAGTGAACATCCGAGTACCCAGGGCAAATGAACTCCCAGAGGTGCATCTCACCTTAACAAGCATTTCCTGAGTCTGCGTGTCATCCTCACTTGTCTCTCCACCATCACTGGTTTTCTTCAGAGGAAAAGTAAAGAAAAGGTAGAGGCACTGCATCAGAGCAGCTGGAAGGCCAGATCCAATGATGTTCCACATAGTTCTCTAAGTAAGGAAAATAAAATGGTCAGCCCATCCAGAAGCTGACCACAGTCTCCTTGTGTTTCTACACACTGAGTGTAGTCATGGCAGATGAAAGCGCTACTTGAACACTATTCTTACGAGTGCTCTAGGGCACACAAGTGTAGCAATTTTATGGCATGGCTGTACAAATCCACTTGGCAGAAACAAATACACTGTTCCCAGGACTTCCCACTGCAGATGAACTACAGCTTTGACAGAGATACTTACTATGTTCTGCATTAAGGAGACCTACAGTTGACAATGCACAGAACCTGCAAACTAACTAGCAGCTGAAACAGCAGTAAGTCCAGGGGCAGACAGTGCCCCTTTCATCATTAGTTCACAGGACACCCTGAAGCTATAAAGGCCTGGTATGTTAAAAGCATGAATTCTCCATTCCCTCCTCAACCTAGCCTAGCAGTAATTTAGTTATAACGCCTTTGCTTTTGTAATATATTGAATAACTGCACACACACTTCTAATTATAGCTCTTACAAATGCAAGAGACACTGTTTCCCCACAATGTTTCTCAACACTTTGTTTCTTCTCATCTTCTCTATGGCTGTGTACAACTACAGAGACATCCTACTGTGCCTGCTTGGCACACAATAATCAAAACAAAAATCAGCAGCAAATTAAACAGAAGAGCGAGGTTTGTGATATGAAGTTTTGTGAGTGTGTGCCCTGCAAAAAATAGCAATGTCTTAAATCTGTGAAAAAACACAAACCTAATCTGGAACTTCATGCTGTGACTAACTACACATAATTTTATAGAGCTCCTTATGACAGAGAATGTGTCCACTAGAAGCTGACAGTAAGATTTTATTTTCATGTATCTGAGTAAGGATAAGACAAATTGCTCAGCTCAATGCCAGAGAGAAATGCACCTCCATGCCCATCAGCAGGCTGTACTGCTAATGCCAGCCTGCATTCAGGATGGCTGTACAAGTAGTTTGTGAAATGCTTTGAAATGCTTCAAAATTAGAGGCTATTAGGATGGGAAATACAGCCACTGCATTACCAGATAGACAGATCCTTACTAGTTATGTGTCAGATGGAGTGACAAAGAAAGGCTGAAGAGCAGTGATACACAATTGGAAAAAAAAAAGATAGAGGAATGCTAGAAAAAACAGCTGCCTTATGATCAAAACAAAAAGGGTATCTGAAAGCACAGAGCGCTTACTTCCCTCTTTTAGAAAAGCCTGGACTATAAACCTGGTGGTGTGTCCTCTGACTGCATACCCTGGGCACGCTGAAGCACAAATCATTGAGGATGATGCAAATATTATGAGACTTAGCTGTTCCACTGTTGAGGTGGCCACCCAGCTTCTCTGAAATAAAAAGGGAAAAAAAAAACAAACCACAAAACAAACAACAAACCCCCTTTGTAGTCATGCCTCTTACCAGGTCAGTCTGTGAGAGCAGATACACTGATTTCAGGAGCACGCAGACATCTTCTGCTTCCCCTTTCTGTTGTAGCAATTGCTCCAAAGCCAGACGAGCTTCCTCTGTTACCACAAAAACATTAAACTTTCATTCCTTAATGAAAGATGAAAATGCTAAATTGATCCTTTCTTAACAGATCTGACAAACTTTAAAAAAACTACTGTAGCGGGAGTCCACTGAAGTGAACAGAAGGGCATTAAAGGATTTTGATCCAGTATCAGGGTCAGGTCAGTTCATGTAAACTACACGTTTCAAACTGACAAGCTTCATGGGGAATACCAGCTCAGTTCATGAAGTCTGCCAGCTGACCTGTGCAAAGAATGTACAACAGCCACCAGGAAAGCCACATGTGGCTAGCAGTATTTTTCTCATTAAAGCAAGTTCCTCAGAATAGTGTGTAGCCTACACTTTTACTGCATAGTTGCAGTATTATACATTTCCAGCTACAAAAATTCCAAACCCAAGGTCAGCACGGCATACAAGGCCAGATCTTCAGTGCAAGCATCAAAACCCAGTGCTAGCTCATGCCTACCAAAAGATCTGGCTTGCTACACTTAGCGTTTTCCTGTTCCCCCTTTCTTTCCCTCAAGGTAAGCACAGAGGACAACTGAATGACAGCATGTTCCCAGAATAAGTGGATCCAGCAGATATGGTATGGGATCATTACCTGCAGGTTTGCCATTAAGGTTCCTCTTGATTTCTTTTGCCAGAAGCTTGGACACCTCACTGGCTAACAGCTGAATGTTGGGGAATATCATTACTCCAGAAGACTGTTCCCAGGCCTGAAATCCAAGTGTAACTGCTAAGTGTTTCTGATACAGCACGTCTTTGGTAGATTGAGAAGTACTAATAAACAAACAAAAAACCATAAAGCTAACATTCCCCTGAAAAATTCCTCCCTCAGCCAGTGTAGTCCATTAAGCTGTATTTGCCAGACTGGCAGGACACTGACACTACAGATACAGAAGTCAACCTGGAACTACCTTTTTAATCATGTAATGCACCTACTAGAGAGCACGTACATTATTTTCACCATTGAATACAATCAAAACAATGTAAATGTTTTCCCTAGCCCATATGTCACTAATTATTTGTATCAAAAAGCACACTAGTCCCTGTTGAAATACGACATAAACATCCTGTACTGTGGAGAAGTTACAGCTACAGTTGTCCAAGAATTTTCCAGAAGAAGTGTACCCTTCTCCAAAAACAGCTCTCCCCAAAACTGAAGTTAGTCATAAACAGAACCTGAGTTTTCAATTGAATAAAAATTTAAAGTAAAACCTGTATTTTCTCTGTTCAGCAAGTCATTGCACAGTCTTAGCTACTTAGAGACTGAAATGGGATTGGAACTGCTGCTCTCATGGAGCACTTGCAAGAGATCTGTCAAAAAGAAACCACGGTAATACAGGACTTCTGCTCCCAGGTAGCAGTATACTGGCCAAGATTCACCTGAAACTGAACTCTCTGTTTCAAGTCAACAAATTTATAAAAATCACAGAACAAACAAGCAAGCAAACCCCATTGGTTTGGGATATTTTGGGGTTGGGGGGGCGGGGGGGTTGTCTGTTTGCTGTTTTCTGGGTTTTTTTAATAATTTCATAATGTTTCTGCCTTACAATGCTACATAAAACCAGAATTTCTTGCTGGACAGGAATAATCTTTGTTGCAAACTAAGGAAATAAAAGAAGATGGGGAAAGGAGCTGAAAAAAACAGCAATATTCTAGCCCAAAAGGCACTGGATGTGATTTTGCAGCAATATGAGCTGCCTAACCATTTGCCTATGAGGTTAAAACACAGGCTGCCAGGCCTGGAGCGACAACCCTGCCTGGCTAGGAATTTACATTACAAGCCAGCTTACATCATGAGTACAGGTCACTGCTAATATAGGAAAAGATGCACTTCTAAAATGTTGAGATTATGACAGTAAATGTTTACCAGATCAAAATTTCTAAACATTTGCTGTGCTATAAGAATTACCCCTAAATAGGAAGGCATAGTCCTAAATGCAAAGCTAGCCAAGGAAAACAAATTTATAGACCAGTTTATAAACAAATTTATAAATAAGTTTATAAATTACTTGTTCAAGAATGGACAAGAAATTCAATGAAAAACTGACACGAGGAACAACAGCAAGACCTGATGGTTCCCTGCTCTGAGTCTGACAAACAGATCCCCTCTCAAATGTTCTTTAGCCTTGACTTTGGGGGAAAAATAATTCAAAAGCAATAAAAAAAATATTCCAGTAGACTAATACTATTGCACTCAATTGGCCTCCGAGAATCATGTACCATTACTTTTCCATTGAACATCCGATGCCACACACATCAATGTGTTAGCAATAGTGCAGCATTCACCTCTAAATACTATGCTGAGACACCTCTGTCCCCAGCAACCCTGAAAACTTTTGTAACAAAAGTCTCTTTCTAAAAGTGCAGAAAAATCAATATGTAAGGCCAGATGATGAAAGGAAGGTAACAAAAATAATAAGACATCTGTTCTCCTAAAAGAATATGGAGCAGACACCCCATAATACTGTCTATCAAGAAATCAGTAAAGCTCTTTGTGAAAGAAGATCCTTTACAAACATTATTTCCTTCCCTACCATTGTTTTCAATTACTTGTTCTTTCTTTACTGATGGCAGCTTGTGGACAAGCTACTCCTTTCCTCACGAAGTGCCAGTCATCTCTCCGCAATCGGGAAAGCACCTACTTTTTACTTCATTTTACTGCATTAACCTCTGGAACTGCACCCCTCTTTTCTGGGCTACAAAAGAGTTAAATGCAATCATACACTATGTTTATCAATTAATTCTCAATCAATCAACAATATAAAAAAAAAGCTATTTTTTTCAGATTTTGACCATAAATTGTTTTCAGAGACCCTCAGCTGCAGGAGCAAGACCCACCAATTCCTTCACTTCTGATGCAGAAATGAGGGAAGATCTGTGAAGAACAGAAGCAAGTGGGGCAAACACAATGACAGGAAACCCACAGCCACTTAAGAATATACAGTGTTTGTCATTAAGCTATACCCTTTTTCAGAAGAAAGCGGGATAGATTCCTGCCCCTCTGCCTCGAAGAGAAACACCCTCTGTACACTTTGGAAAAGATTTGTTACACTCCCTCTTCTGTTAACAGAATGAGCAGGATAAATTTTAGAAGTTCAGCCCATACACAGCAGAGAGCAGCAATCAAAGGTTCATAACAATGCCACATTGTGCAAATATTTAGCTAATCCATTTCACTACAGACCAGGGCACTAATGTTCAAATTTGATTTTACAGGTGATCTTCCTGTGGGTCAGACACTAACCTCTAGAATATGCTATTCTTTAAGAACAGACCAAATCAGTTCCATATTGATCTTTGAGCCTATAAAAGATCTGTATCTGGAAGAGTATCAACCTGACTCCATTCCAGGATGTCTGCCTTCAGAGGAAACTCACATAATATGCTATCAATGTAATCTGATTTTCTTTCTTCCTCTTAAGCCTGTTTCTACATGTTTAAGATTCTGCCACAAGTTCTCTGTGTCTGCTGCTGCCATCTGTCCTTCCAATTCCACGCTTCACGGAAAGATGGTAGCTCAAGAGCCAGCCACGTAATAGAACGTTCTGATACCTTCTGAGGCACCAAGAGGGAGGACAGAGAGGGCACATTAAAATGACTCCCAGCCTAGGCCTGAATCAAAAGCAGATGGTTAGCATTTTCCTCCTACACCTTTTCCTTCTACATCAAGGAGTATCAGTAAGTAATGAGCCCCCACACCCCAGGTGGCTCCTGGTTAGTGCCCTCTTTCTCCAGCCAGCTGAGTAAGAGCTAAAGCACTCTAAGACAAAAGGACAGAGATCCACTGGCATCTGTGTGATCAAACAAGGAAAGGAAAAGCAAGAGATGAAAATCCTCCAAGGAGGGAAAGGACCTGTGCAGAGTCCCCTGTTAAACAGGAGGAAGCAAGGTAAGTTCTGTAAGAACTTCATAACATGTACAATTCAAACTGAGATGAATTTCCCCAAAGCAGCCCAGGAGCTTAGCACAAAGCAGAAGGCTGGTACATGAAGGGACTAAAAGTCATAAGGGGAAGGACATGATGACTGAAAGCTAAAGGGCCAGATCCTCCACAAGGTACTCCTAAATCAATGATACAAGGCCAAAATGCTCTAGCCACACATCTGAACCTACAAAACACTGCAAAGCTCCACTGATATATCTAAGAAAAGTGAAGGGGAAGAATAGACACCTCTCTCTCAGGGCACAAAGTAAGTGTTAAGCTAATGAGAAATTCACATCTCCATTCTGAATATATTCTGTAGCCAAAATATTCTTTAGGAATTTTAAATCCCCTCTTTGTAAGCACTACTGCAATTCAGGAAATCACCTTCTACAACCCTAAAGCATGTGAAGTTCAGCCCTACAGAAGGCAAACACATGATGGGTATGTATATGCACAAAATTGCCAGTCTCTTAGCAATACTCAGCATGTCTCCTGGGGAACAGCTGTCCTTTGACCTATTGGTACTACAGTTTATTTCTTAGGTGTCATGATAAAAAAGCAATTTCCTGCTTTTCTGTCCAATTTTTAATTTCCAATTTGAAAACTTCTCGATTTTATACCTTTCATCATCTTTGTTCAATAAGAACAACTTCCTCAGTCCTTTGAAAGTGCAACAAAATTGACCTTCACATGGAAGGCATTCTTGCTATTCATACTTAGTTAATGATCAGCAAATAAAAAGTTGTTCTATATAATCTCGTCTCACCAAGATTTGCTTACTTCGTGTTCCCTATATGTCATTCAAAAATTAAAGTCACAACAGAACTCAAAAACCTTGATATCTGGAAATTTCAATTTCATTGCAAATTTGAGGCAGGAAAACCTCATCAGAAGAACTTCACACAAAGCTTGCAATACATTGCTTACAAGAGGAGGGAGGGAGCAGTTTGGAGAGACAATCTTCCAAAGCAAAGCCTATTTTTGTGGGGAATAAGTTATACCCTCAAGGCATTAGGGATGTATATTTTCCATGGAGCTTCAAGACGAAGGAAGAGAGGAGGTTCGAAAACAGCTCTAGGAAAAGCAGAATAGATGGCTCTTGCTCCATGCAAAAAGGTTGTACCTTGTTGCTGTGCTGACTCAGCAAAAGAACAGTGTAATTTTCAGCATGCCACTTAAAAAGCAGATCCACATAATAAGAAGGTGCCCCTCTACAGAAAAGTGTCTAATATTCTTTGAAAGCTGAGAATGGAATGATCCTCTTTGCAAAGCCAGAATTTTCATGACCTGATAAAGCGGTGGTGAGCTCCCAAGAGAGCCAAGCCTGCCCATGCACCTGTAGTGCCATATGCAGAGAGAAAGAGAGAGAGAGATTAATTTCCAGTGACAGGCACATATACAGAACAGCATCTCTTCTGCTCAAATATAGCCTTTGGTTCAAGAGGAACACTATTCTATGCAAATAAATCCAGAAGGTGAGAGGAAGTGGTGAAAAGTGAAAGCCTTGTTCAGTAATCATAAAATATCTGTAGGGCCATTTAGATTAAATGACAAGGCTGCTTCTGAGACTCCAGGCTATGCACTCAATGCCTTTTCAGACCCTTCCATCCATTCTGTCTGCACTGCCTTGGACCAGGGCAAGCTTGTACTCAAGCACAGCAAAGTGTTCAACACAGGCACCACCAGATCCTGCCAGCAACTCAACTGTTTGCATCACACAACACCAATGGGTGAGCTGCTTCAGTGCCGAGACCACCATCTACAGCAGTTTCAAAGTCCTGCTCTGCACCAGGACCTACAAGCTTCACAGGTTCATGCTCCATGCAGCTGAATGAAATGTTCATGACTATCTGCATAAAGTTATTCCTGCTTTACTGTCATGAACACCAAAGGTTTCATAGCCCTGAGCACAGTGATTTCCCTGCACACACAGTTCAAAATGTCCTTTTCAATACAGAGTATCACTTTCAATGTCCCACAATGCTGCCACACAGAGTCACTATGTCATTACCTTTGTTTTTTTTTTTTTCTTCTCACCTACTCACTGATTTCTTTTTAGAAAACCAGCTCAGCTAGGTAGGCAATAGAAGGACCTGAGTTTGGTCACTCAAGAACACAGAAAACTCACAAAGTCAGATGGCTGAAATATGCCATAATTAAAATATAGTTTTACCAAAAAGAAGCTTTTATTCTCTTTCTGAAAGACTTATATAGTCAGAGAGTGTAAAAACATAATATTCCATATGAATAAATACCCAAGGTAATTAAAAAGAAAAACAATTCTTTTGTACTACAACATGGCCACAGTACATCTAAAGATAGGCCAGGTTTTCTATTCCTTTCAGTATAAGCTCTGTGATTCTGTTGCTGTGTGGTCCACTCAAACAGTTCCCTGTACATTTCACACACTCTAGCAAACAAAACCAACCCATAAGGCTCCCAAATTCATTACAGAGCTCTTCCAGTTTCACCTTTCAATATGGCCATCTCAGAAATTGTTGGCTGATGGAAGCTCTAGGGCGTAGGGTCGGGCAGCCTGCTAAATAAAATGTTCTAATTCTCAGCTGTCCCTCACACACAGTGCAGCCTTCCTCTCCTCATGCCACAGTTTACTCATCTATAAAATAACTCCTCTCTCAAGCACTAAAATTAAACATCACAACTGTCATTAACCCAAAAATTCGATCTTAAGACCGTACCCCTGCATTTCCCTTAGCTGGCTGCATGCCACGTGACTTTTTCCCAGACTGAAACTGTGCTCAACCCCCTAATAAGTAATAAAATAGATAAGGCAGACACGAAGTGACCTCTTCGCAGGGTATTCACTGTGAAACATGCCTGCCTGATCAACATACCTCTTGACTGTGAGAATAGAACTTAGCCATTCACAAAAGGAAAGCAGAGCTCCACCATACATTTTTCTCATGCTAACACAGCAGGTCAGTTAGATGAAAGGAGTACAAGAAACTGTTTCCCCAGGCTCCCAATGGAATAAAAGTAATTACTGCCTAGATGAAAAGATGATGCTCCAATTAACTCCACTGGCAGTTAAGGGTGACCACTGAATAGACAGAGCACCAGAAACTCAAATTTACATCCTTGGCATCTGCACCAAAGGCAACAAGGAGAACAAACCTTTAAGAAGAGGGGAAGAAAGTCCAGCAACCTTCTCTGTTGCTCCTCTGGGATGAGAAATGGAGCCACCTGCTCATACTCTACAAACTGCCTGCCTAGAGTTTCCCACTGGAGGGTATGGCTCTGGGGTGGCTTGTCCTTGCTGTGTGCAGGCTGTCCCAGCACTTCTGCTTTGTCTCCATCATGAGGGCTTTGCTCTTGCTGTTCTGCTTTGCCAGGTGAATCCTCCGGCTGCCACATGAGTTCAGCTGCTTTGTCCATGCTGAAATGAGACCTGAAGTTAAAGATACTGTGTTATATACAGTCAGCATCATCCCTTACCAGTCAACTGTCCCATGAAACTATACACTGACAGTTTTAACTACGGGAGTTGGGGAGTACAGAAGTATGGAAATACTGGCAGCCACAGTCTCTTTTGCAATTCTAATGGCAAAGCACTTTGATCCTGGACAAAAGCATTACCACCTTGCAATCACATGAACAAGCTCCCTCCCAAGAGACATGAGTGCACCAAGTCCTCTCATCTACCTTCCAGCCCTGTTTTCATCCATAGTCTTCTGGGAGGTCACTGATGCAGCCTGGAATCCACAGCAACCCTACACCTTTGCCATAGCCTTATGCCAGCTCACCCTGCTACCCAGAGCTGACATAATGACAACACTTGCACCAACGCAAGTGGTGCAAAATCAAGCTTCTCCAGTTTCCATCAAAATCAGCCATATGCTTACTGGTGTCTAGGACATCATCTGACTACTCAAAATATGACACACAAATTATCATAGTGTGGGCAGGGAGATGGGGAGTTGTCACCAAGATGAACATAGCTCATCACTTTACTTACTAAACATACCGTCTTTTAAGAGTCTAGAAGAATCTTTAACACATCATTACACCCCTTCAAAGAAATACACTGATGTATCTCCATTTCTAGGAAATAGGTTCCTTTTCTACAGTGCCTCTTTGACTGCCATTCCAGTTTGTCAATAAAAATGCCAAAAAGCAAATGTAACTAAAAAACTGTCTGATCTCCTGCACTACCAATACATACACCCCTTAAAATAAGTTTTAAAAAAAGACTGTTATCAACCTGCTTCAGAAATTATGAGCCAAAACTAATACTACATTTATAATTCTCTTCCTTCACCATCCATCAGTTATGCAGCTTGCTTATTGCTTGCATTCTGCCCACTCCAGATGAGCCAGCTTCACTTCCACACTCACATAATAGCTCCATACTGCAGAGATGAGGAGGGAGACATTATCTTGTCACTGTGCACCACACCACCTGCAGCAAGCTGATGGTCCCAGCAGACACCTCTACGCTTGGATGCAAATGCTGATCCTTCACACTACAGCAGAGAGTAACTTATTCTACTGTAGCCCATACTGCACCCTTCACTAGGAGATGGAGGGCTACAAAATTTTGATCAGTCTCCAGGGATGTCAATCTGGAACTTCCTACCTCAACAACATTTTGTGTTTTGCTGCTGTTGTTTTCCTTAATTGTCTGTGTAAAGATAACACAGCCTTGTAAGCAGAAGGGTGATGATGACTGTCTGCCTAGAGTAAACAGGAAGACTCTGTTCCTCATGACTGCGTGGGACTTACATTTGTCACATGTTATATTTTACCCTGGTATGGGATTTCAGTCCACTTGAGTCACTGTGAAGCTGTACAGTGTGTTGAGAAAGCCTGGAGCCTCAGTGAGCATAGTTCAGAGTTATTTTTTCAATGAGACTGCTCTCACATCCCAAATGGCACCGTTCTCTTCCTAAGGGAAATCTCTGCCATTGGAAGCTACTCTGTTAAACTTAAGTCAATGCTAAGTAACAAAGGAACTCACTCCAGTGCCTACATTCACCTTGGTTATTTGTACGGAGAAGCCCAAAATGCTCTACAGAGGCATTTTACAGATGTTGAAACTGAGGCATGGAGAGGTGATATAAAGTGTTTACACTGGCGTCAGAAGGTCAGTGACTGACTAATCAATGGCACTGCCTGAACTGCACTGAATGGCACTGCAAACGTGCATACCGATTTTTCTCTTTTTGTTAATAACTTACTGAACAGGCCTTTCTTGCAGGCGGCACAGCTAAGGCGAGCAAGGTGGGTCACTCAAAAAATTCTCACTCTGTGAGTCTATGTAATAAAAGAATTCTTCCCGTCTCCACAGAGACTATTAAAACTATATATGCACACACAATTAATGAAGACCTAATTGTAACAGTTTATGTAAAACATTTGAGTGTACGTGGGAATCTTTAAACTCCTGAAGTACATGAAAGCAAAATGAGGATTATGATTTGCCTCTTTATTTAGTCCAACTGTCTAGACTACAAGAGGCATATTTGACTAAATATCAGTCCTCTACTATTAGTCTGTTGTATCCACTTGCACTATTTCCTTTAAATAATACTTCTCCTAATAGCCTTTTATTGCATCTACAATTTCATTCAGACTTCTAAATCCTTTGTATTTTCTATTCATCTTGGAGGATAACTATTGTTCTAGATCAATCACAATATCACAGGCCAGCATTCAAGTATCGTTGGTATTCAGGATAGCTTAGCTATTTTGAAAAGGTCTTATATGTTGGCTCTCTTCTACATCCCACCATTTCTCCTGATCCTCAGTGTATATTAATGGCTTATTTCAGTTTTGATAAGTTACAAATACCACAATGATACAAAAAGTAAAGTGTAAATAATAAAGATTTTACAAGACATAAAAGTGAAAACACATCAAATAAACCAGATGCTATCATTCAGAAAGTAGTGTCAGGTAACAGAGAGGAAGTGGAACTTACTAATGTATTTTCCCTTTTGCTCTAAAAGAAGCTCATGTGAAATCATACTACAATGTGGCTACACCTTTTCAGACTGATAAGACAAACGGGAAGAAAGGCCTGACCAAAAGCTGGCAGAAAGACAAGCAGAATGCTGATACTAAAAGCTTACTGGCTGAACAAGCATCATTTTCTAAATGACATTTTAATTATATTAACTCCTCCAGCAGTCCAAAGAATGATCCCATACAGCTACAAAATCTCAATTTGCACCAAGATCAAGTTTTCTTACTCATTTAAAATGTGTTACCAGAGAAGGGTGTCATGGCAAGATGGTTGACCAAAACACAGTCAAGTCTCATACCAAATTTCCAGAGTTTGGTCCGCTTTTTATTATAAGAATCTGCAAAAAATGTCAGATATTTAAGTGTGCATGGAAATCTTTACTCTCCAAAAGTACATGAAAGCAAAATGAGGGCTAAAATTTGTGTCCTTATTTCTTCCAACTGTCCCGAATACAAGAGGCATACTAGACTAAATATCAGAACCCTAGTACTAGGGCTACCTGCTTTAAATATTCCTTCTACTGTGAGGGTGGTGAGACACTGGAACAGGTTGCTCAGAGAAGTTGTGGATGCCCCCTGGAAGTGTTCAAGGCCAGGAGCAACCTGGACTGGCAGAAGGTGTCCCTGCCCACAACAGGGGTTTGGAACTAGATTATCTTTAAGGTTCCTTCCGACCCAAACTGTTCTATGATTCTCCTAACAGCCTTTTCTCGACTATTAAAACCCAAGATTCTGGTGACTATCAGACACAACATGGCTCACAGCACCCTTAAAATCCACTGTGTGATACCTCTTTATACTCCTTTCCTTTCCTTGGCAACCAAGATAAATCTGTTCATTAAATATTCATGCCAGTCAATTCTTTTAAATGCTAAAACCAGGGATTCCACTACCTCCTCAGGAAAGCTGATGCTGCAACAGACCCAAGCAGCAGGAGGCATCGCTTGTTTCTTTTATGAAACATCTTATCTCATGAATTCTAGTTCTCGCCCAATTCAATCACACTCTCTCTGTGGCTCACACCACTCTGTGCTCACAGGAAATGACAGCACCCCAGAACAAACCCTGTGTCAGACACTGTCCACCTAGTACTCTCTGTCCCTCCTAATCACCTCGGTTCTTCCTCCCTGAGCTCCCCCTGCCTTTCTTAAATTATCTACACGTATCACTTCTATGTCTAGTGATCATACTTGGCATATTTCATGATGCAAACCTAAAACACCACCAAAAAAATTTACACTTTCATGTCACTCTATTTATCTTCTCCAATATGAGGACTGCAATGAATTAAAACAAGGTGCAAAATTCAATATCCTACCCATCCGTGCCAGCTCCATTTAATTGTAAATTCTATGGGGAAGGTATTCTCTCTTCCTAAGTTCTGGCACAGCACTTTATGCAGTAAGAGCCTAAACTGGCTGGTGCCTTGAAACACAAATAGCTGACAAAATACAAATAGCAGAGGGGTTTTAAAACACTTGTCAGCTTAGAGAAGGTTGAATACTGTTCAAAGAAGAAGTCCCATTTCACTTTTTCAGCAATATAAATATCGTTTCAGCTTGTTTCAAGATGTGACACTATTGCTACCAAAGGAGAAGCATTCATTTACACTAGGACTTTATTTATCCAAGTACATTTTTATTTTTTGAGTACATTTAGTTGGACAAGGCATTTTTGCAGTACAACCTCACAAATCATTAATTCAGTTTCAAACACTTAACCACATTTCTCTCTATTTTTGTTTGAAGAGCATCACCATGCAATCCAAAAGTAGCTATAAAACTGACTTAGGCTCTCCCTAATGTACCCACTCTTCATTTTTTCTGTTTTAAAAAGTAGCTTCTAAATATCTAATTGGGAACAGTTACTTCTCTGACTTGTATATATCCCTACTGCAGAAAAGAAAGAAGCAGAGATACTGGGTATACTTGCTTCTGAGATGCAGTCCTCCTGGAAGTGAAGTAATGGTCCCATCCCAAGAGCAAACAATGCTTCTGCTCAGTCACAGACAATATAGTTGTAACAAACTCAAAGGAACAAGACCAGGGCAATTCTGATCATCTCAAAACAACAGCTCATTAGATAAGAACATGCAGTTAAACCAAACTGAACAAGCCTCCACTAGCAGCAGCAAGAGATATACCCCTTCCATCTGCAACCCTATTACCATCCCTAAATTAAAGGATACAAGCAAACCACTGATCCTTTTTCCATCTTGTACTGCAGTTTAGGGGGAACTTTTACTGAAAATGATCCTACCACAACAAACAAGCTGCAAATAGCACTGCAGTTTCCTTCAACAGTTAACAGTCTGTTCCTTCTGCTTTCACAGCAAATCTCTTGACATACCTGGGCTCCTAGATTCAGCAGCTTCTGTTGCAGTCCATAACCATATCCAGAAAAATGAGCGT